TACAAACTTCCTGGAGGGCTTAAAGAGATTGGAGAAACTCTCCAGGAGCTGGAAAAGGTGGGTATTATAAGGCCCACCCATAGTCCTTTCAATTCCCCAGTGTGGCCAGTAAAAGAAGCCAGATGGCTCCTGGCATATGACTGTGGATTACAGAGAATTGAATAAAGTTATACCCCCTATGCATGTATTGTCCCCTCTATTGCAGGCTTGATGGATACCCTCAGCCATGAACTAGGAACATACAGTTATGTGGTAGATCTTGCTAATGCCTTCTTTTCCATTGACATTGAGCAGGAAAATCAGGAACAGTTTACCTTCACGTGGGAAGGATGGCAATGGACTTCACCGTCCTTCCACAGGGATACCTCCACAGCCCCAACATCTGTCATGGACTTGTAGCTCAGGACTTGGCTACATGGGAGAAACTTCCAACGGTGCAGCTGTACCATTATACTGATGATGTCATGCTCATGTCTGATTCTCTTTCAGATCTAGAAAGTGCAGCACCTACACTGCTGCAACATTTACAGGAGAAAGGATGGGCTGTGAACAGCACCAAGGCTCAGGGACCTGGTTTGTCTGTCAAATTCTTGGGGGTCATCTGGTGGGGTAAGACCAAAGTTATACCAAAAGCAGTTATAAAGTCCAGGCCTTTCCTACACCTACAACTGTAGCATTGCTATAGGAGTTTCTGGGTCTTCTAGGCTGCTGGAGAGTGTTTATCCCACACTTCAAACAACTTCTGAAGCCCTTACACCGGTTGGTACAAAAGGGCATCAGGTGGGACTGGGATGAGACAAGTGCATCTGCCTTTACTACAGCAAAACGGGCAGTCAAAGTCATGCAGGCCTTGAGTGTAACAGACCCATCAAGGCCCTGTGAGCTGGATGTTCATGTGACTGAAGATGGTTATGGGTGGGGTCTCTGGCAGTGGCTTGAATGAACTCGCCAACCTATTGGATTCTGGTCACAACTCTGGAAAGGGGCAGAGGTATGATACACTTTGATAGAAAAACTACTGGCTGCCATGTATCACACCTTGCTGGCTATAGAACCCATCACTGGAATGGCCCTGATAAAGGTAATACCACCTATCCCATCTTGGGGTGGGTTGGAGACTGGACCCAAAAGCCAAGGAGCAGTGTGGCACAAACGCCCACACTAGCCAAGTGGGGTGCTGACATACAGCAGTGTAGTGCCCTCTCTAGTAGTCCCTTGAGTGAAGAACTCCAATGCTTGTTGGGGCCGGTGACATATACTAGGGAAAAGCAGGAAGAACCTGATTTTGAACCATTAGTAGCAGAGAGTCCCTGTCAGGATGGAAGAGCCCCTATACCCAAAGATGCATGGTACACAGATGGCTCCACCCATGGGCAGCCCCCAAAATGGAGGGCCATAGGTTTCCCTCCTAAGACTGAGACAATATGGATGGAAGATGGTGAGGGGAAGAGCAGCCAATGGGCAGAGTTGTGGGCTGTGTGGCTTGTGATCAGCCTGGAGCCCTCCCCTATAGTTGTCTGCACTGACAGCTGGGCTGTCTATCAGAGCTTGACCCTGTGTACCAACCTGGTACCATGCCAACCAGTTGGTTGGTCACCGACCCCTTTGGAAGCAAGAATTGTGGCAAGACTTATGGGCCTGTGGTAAGACTAAAATAATTACAGTATACCATGGGACAGGTCATCTGCAACTGGCATCCCCAGGAAATGATGAAGCATATAAATGGCCCGGATATTTGGTTAGAAGGAAAGTCTGCCTCTGATGTAGCCCAATGGTTACATCAGCATTTGTTGAATGCAGGGCAAAAGACAATGTGGGCTGTAGCCTGTCAGTGGGGCTTGCCTTTGACCTTTGAAGAAGTTAGTAGAGCCTGGCAGGAGTGTGTCGTGTGCCCCAAAAGACACCGAGTTCTGCAGCAACATGGGACAATAGCTAAGGGGCTGATACCCCTCATCAGGTGGCAGATAGACTATATTGGGCCTTTACCTGTGCCAGAAGGACATTGGTATGCTATGACTTCTGTGGACACAGCTACTGGACTTCTGGTTGCTTTTCCTACCCATTGTGCAGACCAGCAGACAACCAAAAGAGGCCTGGAGTGTTTCCTTCCTGCCTATGGCCAACCACAGGTAATTGCGAGTGATCAGGGCACCCATTTTACTGGACACACACTGCAAGAATGGGTCCGACAGCTGGGAATCAAGTGGAAGTTTCATGTGCCATACAATCCTACCACAGGAGGCATGATAGAGAGGCACAATGGCTTGTTAAAATCCAGACTACAGTCAGATACCAATAGTCTGTGGGGATGGTCAGTCTGCTTATGGACTATGCTACAGTGTTTGAATGAGAGACCCTGAAAGGGAGCCCTGAGCCCCGTAGACATGTTAACACATATGGCTGCCTCCCCTATACAACTGCAAGTACAAACCAATGAAGAATCACTGAAGCTAAGGTTTGGCCACCAGAATAACATCTTGCTGCCTGCAACAATTGCACTAAACCCTGGAGACTCCATTGAGTGGACGTGGCCTTGGACCTTTCAACACATGGACCAACAATGGCTGGCTCTCTTGGCACCTTGGGGACAAGGCCTGGAAGCTGGCCTGTGTATTCCTGGAATAACAGCCAAGTGGCCACCAAAGATCACAGTAGTACATCTTGAACATCCAGAAGGTAGGAGCATCTTACCAGGAGTTTTGTTTTATCATTATGGCCAGTGCATGCACCTCCAGTAGCACTATATATAAACCCTTCAGTAACCCCCATGGGGAAAGGAGTAAAAGTATGGTATACTAGACCTGGAAGGGACCCCCTTCCTGCTATATTCCTATCACAGGACCACTCTCTTGCATGCATCCTACCTGATAGACAAGGTTTGCCTATTGTGGTGTCATTAAAACGTGTCTTATCGCTCCTAAAGTCTGTGGATTGGAAACTTCCTCTGGCTTGAGGATTATTATAATTTTCATTACCTGTATCAAAATCTTGTTGTATCTTAATTTTTGTTATTATCTCTAAGTTGCTGTTATCCTCTGTTGCTACTGTGGAATCTGGTTACAGTGCTCCAGCTTTCTCGCACAGGGACCATCCCGGAAGATTAAAGCATGTAGATTGTAAGGCGAGAATACTGGAGGGGTGGAGTGTGGGGAAGTTGGGGTTTCTATGGCCAGGATCCTCACTGAACTTAAACCACTTGATGATGTAACTGGCCTGCTGCTAGGTTACTGCTTCCATACCTTTAGGCAATAAGCTATTACTGCACTATACAGAGAGCTCTGCCCAGTGCTCTGGGTGGAGGCAGAGATGCTAGTGCTCGACCTACCACTGGGAGAACAAGCTGGGTAATAAACCCTTTCACCCCAAAGAAAGTTTTGCTGTCAATTTCTTTGGTCACATTGAATCCATAGCAAACTTGCTGGGGCTGAAAGCCATGGCAAGACAGTCTGTGATCAAATTTGGGGCTCTGTTGACTTCATTTTGTTATTGAGGTATCTTAATCTCATTGCAAGCCCTTCTATATGTGAAATTGGACAATATTATTGAATTGGCAAGGAAAATAGACCCAGGATAAATTTTCAGAATTGGAGTTCTATAACTAATATACTATTTGTGGTAGTTATAAAACATGGCTTGTTTTATGTCCTATCCTAGCAGCTACTCTCTCATGCAGGGTTTGGTCCTGGAAGAGAGCTCAGCTTGGTTTTTAAAGTGCATAGAGCCTAGACCTTTCTTGTACCATCTGACCTTCCCATTGTTTCCTTGTGTTTTACTGGGAAGTGGAGCCCACAAAGCTTCTTCACAATTTTGACCCTAACCTTAGAAGAACTCTATAAACTTTACACGCCTAGTGAAACTCCTTCCTTTAGGGGTATCTTTTGGTTGTTTTGTTTTGTTTTGTTTTGGTTTCCTCTGCCTTTTGCCACATGTGAATTTTACTATCAGGATTTGTCCCACCTGTGCATATTTGGAAGCTCATACCTTGCTACCTAAACTTGCTGATATTGTTCATGGTTTTTAGGTTTGCTATCCAACTTGTATCTATTTTTGCAGGAAGATATGGGGACATTAAAAAACTAAGCCACTTTCAACTTCCCAGAATTCCTTTTTCCTTGATTCCTTCATGTAGCAACGATAATTATATGCTCACCAAATCCTTTTTCATATTTCTTCTACATTCTGTACCCTCACCCCCATGCAAATGTGAGTATGCAAGTAGTTCTAGCTAGTGAAACATGAGTGGAAGTAAGAGGTGTCACTTCACAGTGGTGGCACTGAGATCCCTTAGCATCACTCCTCAGTCGGTTTACCCCTCTGGTCATGAGTATACAGCCCAGGGACTGAGGCAGCCTAGCTCAATGGGTCTCAGCATGGAGGACAGCAATCTATGGCAGAGATTGCATTAGCAAGAAATGATCTTTATGTCTCATGTCATTATTCTTTTGGGGTTGCTACTACTGCATAAACCCAGACTATTCAAACACTTCCCCATCTACTTCCTCTATTAATTATCCCCTTTTATGTCTTCTGGGTAATATGCTCAAATATTTCTTATGCAAAACAACCTTCCCCTGATCCTACTGTTCCTTAAATTATCATATATCTCCCTCTTCATTCACGGATACATTTCTGGAAGGAAAATCTAAATTTGCTACCTCCACTTCTTCTCTACCCACTCACTCCTTAATCCCTGGGGAATCTGGCTTCCACTTTCTTCACTTTTTAGAAACCATCTTTTTAAAGATCACCATGATCTTTTAACTTGCCAGGTCACTCTCAGTCCTGCTCAACCTCTATTCTACCAAGACCCCAAACTATGGTCAGTGGTTTTAAATATTTTTATGTTTACAGATCTCTTTAAATGTCATGTAAAAGCCATGGATCTATTCCCAGAAAAAAATCACACACACATTTATACAAATTTTGCATAAATTTCAAGGAGTGTTTGGTCAACATGTTTCCCCAAAACCCATCCGTAAACAGTCAAAACATCTCCATACCTTGCATCAAGAATTGTCCTCTTGATTTCCCTTATGTACCACCTGTACCTAAAAAAGAAACAGAAAGTGAAGAGGGTCATCCATTCCCACCAACAGTCACATGGAGCATTCTTTCACTTCCCAATGTATTTTCCTATGTCCCCTTTATCTTATCTCTGTTTTTTGCATTTCTGTAGTGGCTTCTTATATATTTATTCCCTCATTCATCTCTCCCTTCATTCAATCATGGAGTACTTGCAAAGTAAAAACAATATTATGTTCCTCTTATCCCAAAGGAAATAACAGTACAGCTGGGAAAGAGACATGCTTACATTAAAACTTGAGATATAAAATAAAGAAGAATATGAATAAGTGGGGGTGTATTGAACTATTTCTGAAAAGGTCGGACACAGCTCTCTGCAAGAGAGGGAATGTAAACTGGGCTGGGTTTTTGATAGATAGGTGGAAGGAAGCATGGTGTGTCAAATGGAATAGAAAGTATTATGTAAATGTAAATGAAATGTTGAAGAGATTATAAGTAAGTCCCACATGAACTGACCAGAGAGGATACAAAGTTAGAGAAAAACAGAATGGTAGGTAGGAGCCAGTCTTACGTAGCCTTGAGTACCAGGTTAGAGTCTGGGCTTTATTCTGTGGATAACACAGAGACGCTGGACATTTTTGAGCAAAGGACTGACAGGATGAAAGTGATCTTTTAGGAGATTAACTTGCTAAGAGTGTTTAATCAAGAGATGAGGGAATGGTCAAAAGCAGTTAAGAAACTGTGCAACAATCTATGACCTGAAGTTGCAAACTGCAGAACCGAACTATCTAAGGAAAGCACCATGAGTAATGGGGCACAGCTGATGTAGCAGGTATGAAGAGCTCCCTCCACTTGGGAGAATGCAGTTACCTTACAGCCTCAAGCTGCAGCACCATCGGGACCCACCACAGCAACATTCAAACAAAGGTCAGCATCTTTCCCTGCAGCTCCAAATGACTGAGCATTGCAGCATTACAAGGACCTAGCCATTTCTATCTAAGGCAGGACCTCTCTAACAGATAGTGCATGCTCCAGAGCTCCCCACTGGGTTGCCTGAGACTTTGCTGGATCTACTGCTTGTTGCCTGAGACTCTCCCTGCTCAATCTTCTTTTCTTTCACAGGTTTCTGACTAGCATCCAGTTCTGAAGGCTTTAGCTACTCAATCCTCCTTCTTCCTGCTTTATTCACATACGTGTTACACCCCACCCCGCAACTAATTTGGAAATACGTGAAAAGTTACACTTTATAAAATTCATACAAGTAAAAATTAAACTGACAATAGTGAGTTCATTGTATCTAGGAAAGGAATATTCTAAGTTTAATTATTTCATGCGCTAGAAAACAAAGAAATGTGGTAATTATGATTTATGTACTGAGAAAACCATCATGGTCCCTGTAGGTTTGAATGAGTTCTATGAGATGAAATCTTTTCTCTGATTTAACCTGAGATTAAATAAGAGACTAAAATAGCTATTTGGGCATTTCTTTATTTAGAGGAGCCAATTTATTTTAAAGAGAAATTTTCATCTCACAACTGGAAGTAATAATGGGATAAATGGGAGGAGCAGAACAGTTCTCTGAGACAAGTGCTGCAGCTGGGGTTCAGCAAATACGAGTGTCAGTATATGCTCTAAAAATACATGCATCAGATAGCAGAGATTCTTGAAACTTCTTCTGAATATACTTTGTGTCTTGTGTTCATGAGATACTTCTGTGAAAATGGAAAGATGCTCCTGTCATGGCAGTGTTGGAAAAAACATATATATATACATACATACATACACACACACACACACTTACATACATACATGTAAAGAACTGCCACATAATACACCAACTTGATATTCAGAATGTAATGGAAACTATATTACAGACCATCTAACACTATCAGCTAAACATAACCAACCACTCTTCCTGCTTTTTTTGATGGAGGAAGTTATAGCATAATGTTAGAGGTATATTTTGTGTGTGTGTTAGGCTGGAAAGATTAATTGGCCCTTGAGTTTCAGTTGTTTAGTAATAGAGTGCTCTGGAAATTAAACTGTCACACTAAAGTAGTTTTGAGCTAATAAAGAACAATTAGACTGAACACCCAATGATTTCATTCCTATTTTTAACTGCTACCCAATGCAAAGTTTCCTTTTGAGGTAAATCTTGGAAGAAGTTGAAACATTTCAATGATATAAATTCAAATTACTGCCTTTCATTAATAAAACACTAAGAAAATAATTCCACAGTCCTCCTTAACCCCTAGCATGACCTCTCTCCTGCCAACTCCCCAACTTACACACTCCTTTTCCCAAATTGCTTTCTACCTGATTCTATAAATTCCCAACTTTCTAGTTTTTCCTCATATCTTTCATATCTTTTCCACAACTCCTTACTCTCAGCTGAGAATATTGCCTCAAACTTCTCTGAGAAAATAGAAGCTATCAGAAGTTGCTCAGCTTCTGTTTCCCAAATCTACAATTCTACCTGCATCTGTACATTTTCTCCTTCTTCCCTCCTGTTTCAGTGGAGGGAGTGTATCTTCTCCCATCACTTCCCTGCTGCTATGGATGCAATCCCTCTCTCGACATCATCATCTCTCCCTTTCTCATGAATTATTCTGATTCCAAACAAACATGTGCTATTATTGCTCATCTGTAATAAACCTGTTCTTGACTAATATCCTCTTCAATCTATCTTTCCTTCTTTTGCTTCTTCTCACAGAAAACTTTGTGAAGTATCCTGTCTCTGTACACTGCCTGCACTTGCTCACCAATAAGTCATTCTTGAATCCTCCTCCCCAATCCAGCTTCTCTGTCCCACCACGCCTCTGAAATTGTGTATGTCAAAGTCAGCAATGACCACTATATTGCGAAATCCATTGGCCACTTTGGTCCTTATCTTACTTGATTCTTCAGGATTATCTCTCTCCCTGAGAGCATTCTCCTCTCTTAGCTTCTGGGATGCCATTCTCTGCAGTAAAGTGCTAATATAGCAGAGTCCAACAAGAGGCTATAACAATTATAAATATTGATGCAACCAAAATGGGAGCAACTAAATATATAAAGCAAACACTAATAGACCTAAAGGGAAAAACTGACAGTGCATAATAGTGGGGGACCTTAACACCTCACTTATATCGATGGGTAGATCATCCAGATAGAAAATAAATAAGGAAACAGTGGCACCGAACAACACATTAGACCAGATGGACTTAAACAGATATATACAGAACATTCCACCCAAAAGCAGCCGAGTACACATTTTTTCAAGTGCAAATGGAACATTCTCCAGAATAGATCACAGGTTAGGACACAAAACATGTCTCAATAAATTTAAGAAGACTGAAATTGTATCAAGCATACCTTTCAGATCACAATGGTATGAAACTAGAAATCAATTACAAGAAAAAACCTGGAAAAAACAAACATGTGGAAGCAAAACAACATGCCTCTAATGGAACAATGAACACATCAAAGAGGAAATCAAACAATACATGGACACAAATGAAAACAGAAACACAACAATTCAAAATATGTGGGTTTTAGCAAAAGCAGTTCTAAGAGGGAAGTTTATAGCAATACAGGCCTACCTCAAGCAACAAGAACAATCTGAAATAAATGATCCAATCTTACAACTAAAGGAACTAGAAAAAGAAGAATAAAGAAGCCCAAAGTTAGCTGAAGGATGGACATAATAAAAATCAGAGCATAAATAAATAAAATACAGACTAAGAAAATAGAAAAAGTCAATGAAAACAAGGGCTATTTCTTCAACAAGATAAACAAAATAGACAAACTCTTAACCAGACTTACCAAGAAAAAAAGAGAGAGGACACAACTAAACAAAATCAAAACAAAAAAAGATGTTATAAACAGCACAGAAATTCAAAGAACTATAAGAGAATTCTATGAAAAGTCATATGCCAATAAACTGGACAACCTAGAAGAAATGGATAAGTTCATAGAAACATACAATCTTCCAAGACTGACCCAGGAAGAAACAGAAAATCTGAAGAGGCCAATTACTAGTATATGCACCCTTATGTTTATTGATGCATTATTTACAGTAGCCATGGTATGGAAGCAGCTGCAGGGTCTATCAATAGATGAATGGACAAAGAAAATGTGGTACACGCATATAATGGAATATTATTCAACCATAAAAAGAAAGAAACCTTGCCATTTGCAACATGGATGGATCTAGAGGGTATTATGCTATGTGAAATAAGCCAGACAGAGAAAGACAAATATTGTAAGATTTCACTTGTATGTGGAATATAAAAAGATAAAACAAAACAAAGGAACAAAACACCAGTAGACTTAGAGACACCCAGAAGAGACTGGTAGTTACCAAGGCTAGGGTACTTGAGTGAAATAGGTACAGGGGATAAAAAGGCACAATATATCAATTATAATATAAATTAGTCATGGGGATAAAAGAACAGCATAGAGAATATAGTCAATAATACTGTACCATATTTCTGTGTTGACCAGTAGTAACTACTATTATTGGGGTGAGCATTTAATAATGTTGGTAACTGTCAATGTACTATGTTGTATACTTGAAAATAAGATAATATTGAATATCAACCATACTTCAATTAAATAATAAATAAATAAATGAAAAGAGTTGAAATAGCAGGCCTGGGATTGCTCAGGCTTACAAGGCTGGCTCTTGACTAGCATTTGAGAACTTGATTTTCAGGAGCGTAACCATTGTTTCCTAATTAATAACGATGGCTCCCTGTGCCTAGACTGTAAAAACAATGTGGTTAATGCTGAACACCTGCTTTTCTTCTAGGAATCTGGAATTTTGTAAGCAGAGGGTGCCTATATGACTAGATCCCGATAAAAACATTGTGCAATGAGTCTCTAATCAGGTTCCCTATGCAAAAACATCACACACATGTTGCTGCATTTTCATTGCTGGAGGAAGACAGCTCATGGGATGAACAGGGCATAAGGAACACTGTCCATGCATTCCTCTGGACCCCACCTGCACCTTTTCTTCTTATGATCCAGTGCTATGTGACTG